TAAATAATAGAATCGTAGGCGGAGAAAGATTGCGATCAAAATTACTCACCAAACACCTTCGTTACCAAGTATGTGCCAGAGTGACAAGCCATTCACGCTGTTTACACAGTTTGGAATGATAATTTTGAACGGCTTCAGAAAACAATGAGTGGGAACTTCTGAAGTATGAGATGACCAATGACCCGTAGGAAACTCAGTTTGTCGATCACACAACACCTGGTCGAAATGAAACACTGTGTCATGCTGCGTTCAGAATCCTCTAAAACACAAACAACACCAGGTTTCTGAAACACACCGAAGCACTATTCATTCCAAATTACCATCCCAAACTGTGTTAACAGCGTGAATTGCTTATCACTCTGGTGCTACCTTAGCAATAAATGTATTTGGTGAGTAATTTTGGGATGGTAATTTTGATTGGTTAGTGCCTCGGCATATTTTAGAACCTTGATGTTGTTTCTGTTGTAGAGGATTCTGAACGCGTCGCGCAGCATGCTACAGTGTTTCATTCCGACCAGGTGATACCGGAATATATTGTGCAAACCTGTCTTTTTGGCTTCTTCATTCAAATTCGCTACGCGAAATATATGCTTCCAAAAATTAAACCACCCAGAGCATGCATTGAACACAAGCGAAAACCAAACCTCTGGTATTCCGAATATGTCCAACGAAGAGCAACAACATTTCGTGCACCTGGGATTTTGATACTGACAAAAACGTGGCATAAGTAAACAAAATGTCATGATTTTCATTTCAGCTACATGGTGTTAAATGGTTCACAAAATGGCTTATTGTGCATTGTCAATGTAGCCTGCTTACAACGAGAAAGTTCTTTAACGCAATTTTCAGCTATGGAACTCTTGTTAGGTGTGAATTGAAGTGCGTCTGTACAATTCCTTTAGGGCCTCACCATCGGGTTTGCATTACTGCCAGACGACGGAAACTGGTTCAAACGCCAGATCTACGTCCACGCTTCTGACTCTGTGAGTTGCACGTACATCAAATGTGCAATTCATGTTTTAATCACAAGTGGCTCACTCCAATTGAGCGTTAGATACCAAATTTTTTTGTGGGAACTGGCGTACATGCGCTGATATAGGGAAATTGAGGGTAATATTTTACGAAATGTCATCCAACAAGAAAAATGCCAACATAGTATGAGTAAACTTGTTGACGTTTTTGTGTTCTCCGAGTTGGAAATGTTGTTCTCAGACATTTCTTAGCCAAACTAGGCAACATGGTCAGTGCGACTTACCTAGTTTGACTAAGAAACGTCTGCAAACAACAACAACAACTCAGATAACTCACCAACACTAACATCTGCATCCCAAGCTGCAATCATTCCACACCATTTCAATTGTGAAGTTGATTTCTTTCTAAATTGACAGGTATTCGAGTGGGAGAGTTCAGCAGAAGAGGAGCGTGTACACGAAGACGCGTATTGTTATCCCACTAAATCATGGTGAACATTTTCAGTATTGGATCAGCGGAGATTTGAACCAGTGGTTACATGCTCACAAAATGCTTGATCAATGCCACTTACAGTTGTTATATTGGGGAAATAGAGTGGTGCAAACTGATTGATACAGCACACTTTCCAAATATCGAATAATCTCTACTTTCCTTGGTCACATTTTCGCTGAGTCACAACTGTGCCATCGGTTGTAACACAAACGGCAAGTGGTTTTACGATTCGTACAACCATTTCCATCGGAAACGTTCCCAATTGATTCACAATGGATTTACCACACTCGTTTTAGCTGATAGGCTATGATGAGTGTGTACCTGACCTACACAAATATTGCTTTTATATGCCAATTTTTCACTTATCGTGTACGGTCAAAATCGTGAAACTGAATGTTTAGTTTCTCCACACGTTTGCAAATCACTCTGTTTCAAAAACATTCCGTTGAGCACTATTACTCTTGAACGTTAATCCCTGTCAAAGTTTGTGTGTGTGTGCGGGCGCGCTGCACTGCGCTGTCACTGATCTTTCACGAAAATTTAAAAAAGTGCAACATGTCTACATCGTTGATTTTACCTCACTTGTGTCTCTCCGATCCGCATGAAAACTATGTCGCAGAACAATAAAACAATATACAGTGTATATTTGATGTGTCACAGTCAGGGAAACGCCAACCCGGTGCACCCAGTGGTTCCCGTATGGAATGACCGACCTCGCGTGCACGAGTTCGAATCCCAGTGGGTTGGAGAAAAATCCTTTGTCGGTGATTCTTATCAAGGGTGAACTAGATGTGCACTTTTCACTACGGGTGAAAATGTTGACTCCGCGTAACACAAATAAATAAACGTAGCGTCATACTGAATTTTATACCCATTCACCTACATTTATATTTGTGTTGTTCGCAAACAATGGAATTTCTTCCTAGTAATTACTGGCTTGGGTGAAACGCCAAGTGGTCTTCGGTGACCGTTCGTGACACTGCGCTGCACACCGTCATGGAGAACGTTTGTGACTGCGAGAGTTCACATTACACACATTGGAAATCAATCAATATGCCTCACTCGATTTCATCTTAGATTTATCGTAACTTCTGAAAAGCTTTATAGAAAAACTTCGTTTCCCCGATATACTGAGGAATCAAACACAACCAATTACCACTGATGAAAGGGATTTGGGAGTTATGGTACAACAGGATGCAGGCTGTTGCACACACTGTGCCAAAGTATCAGCTAAAGTAAGTTGGATTAGTTAAACGTGTTTTCAAGCTGTTCAAAATAGCACTGGTTCCATGCTTGCCATCGGCATTCATTCGGCCAAACAGAGAACACCTTTTTCCAATATGGAATCCATCGTTGGACTGCGACAAGGATGCTCTAGAATGTTCGCAAAGGTCGATAACACTAAGGGTGTAAGGTCTGTATGATATGATATACTTCCAAAGACTGAGAATATTGGAGCTTAACTTGTCTCAGTACCGTCGACTTCGGCGGGACCTAATCTTGTCATACCCAACCACCCTTGCCGTTCTTTGCCAACTTTAACTTGCAACAATCATCTCAGGGGACATTTATTGAAGTTGAAGACCTAGAACAGCCACCTAGATTAACGGCATCATTCGTCGGCAGTCTGAGTGTGTGGTGTATAAAACTCCCTTCCTAACCCATGTGTGTGTGTTGAACTGTGTTAAATCGCAGCTTTATAAAACATTGGAGCCCTGAACAGTTCAAAATTTGTGAGTGCTCAGGCATATTATTATTATTATTTTCAATTCTTAAAGTTCTCCGAAACGTTCTTTACAAATCTTGAGGGATATGATAAGCGTTAGTTTTGTTAAATCACCCACAATAAAACATCGGACTTTGGTTAGTAGTGTGACCTACATGCTCATCAAAAGAACTCCATCAATCAATCCCGAGCGTGAACGCGCGCGCGAGAGAGAGATTAAGAATATACTGTAAAATTCAAATTTTTAAATCGAGGCAATTATCTCGCATCATGTTCACCGAATTATATCATGCTAAAATTAGATTGCTCAGTTCTACGCCATTTAAAAAGACACGTTTTGAGCAAGAACACTCTTATTTGCTTGACCCCAATTTCAGTGGATGAACGACCGCTGTTCCGAAATAGTTAATCATGCATTAATGACTACCCCAAGGTTAACAAAATAGTCTACAATCGATCTTTGGAAATAACTGGATTAAATGTCACCACTGACATCTGACCAGGATTGAATCAGCTTTCCAATACGAACTCAATACACAAACGAGTCTGAGTACAGATATTCAGAATAATTCTTAGGAAGGAGATCGCGATATTTTTTTATGGTCGGTCATCACAAATTTTTGTCACGAATCAATGCAGTGGAGAATTCACGAACTGCGGAGAAATGAAACCCACACCGAAAACCATTAACAGGGTCGAACGACTGTCAAGAGTCGAACGGACTGAACCAAAAATACACACAACCAAATACGCATGGTAACTGGTATTTGCATTCTCCTATGAGGAAAGGTATTTCATCAGATTTACTTATGTCCTCGCGTCAAAGTCAACGTATCTCATCATCGTGAATTATATCGATAGAGAATAGCAGGAAAATACGTTTTGGAGCAGTGTTTCCAGCACGCTTCGGGTCTGTTTTGCTGCTCGGTTGCTCAGTTAGCAATAGGAAATAGGTCAATGAGCATTTCGGTCAAGGTTTCAACCCTAGTTTTTTGCAACCATGCGCAATTTCTGAGGCAGCTGGGTTTCTCCAGACCAGTCGGTGTCCTGCTGTCCACAGTTTACTCACCTGTCAGGCAAACAGAACACCATGAGGGAAGTGATCGTATTGAATATTAGGTTCTGATCGCCATTTGCGCGGTGTTGTTTGCAGACATGGGTGCTATTTCACAGTGGCCTGAGCTATCCAGGCGAAAAAGCACTGTTCCGGATTGTATGAGACCGCTTTTACTTGGTGAACCTAGGCTTACTTTCGAGCGGTGGTGACCCGGGGATGTGTTCGAATCCCACCACCACCACCTGACTTTCTCCTTTTGTTTTAAATGGCAGCCCTTTTGCTTCCCCCTTCCTGAAAATTGTATTATTGTGTAAACAATAAAAGGAAGTTTAAGTAATAATCATCCTTTCCGTTCGCAGAGCTACCAATCCGATCACGTAAATGATCGTTGTATAGGAGGATAGAAACTGAAATTCTAGAGCAATAGCGTGAAAGTCCCTAATGCGCATTGGCTATCGAACCTGAGGCACATCATTAGTCAGTTTATCTCAAATCCAAAGTCGATAGTCTAATCAACATTTTGTATATTACGGCCCTATCAGGAATGAATGCATATAGGATGTTTCAATCACCGAATGAATTCAAGCTTATATTGTGAAAATGTAGCTCTATTTTCATCCATAACTTACCCGTTTTTTCTCAAAAAAAGACAACAGCTATTCGAATTTACAGTTTGCGTTTTGTTTGGAGCTTTATAAGTGATTTGGATTTTCGTTATGAACGCTATAGAGCTAGCTGGCACGAATTTTCTCCCTGAGTTCAGATCCCGGCTCGTATGAATTTTTCTGCTTGTCGTAAATTTTTGTCATGCGTTCGGTCTTCTGTAGAATTCAAATTATACAATAATAATAACAATGTATTCAGTGGTTTGTGTCATTGTCGAATCGACTGTAATATCTTCTAACGGATTCAGAGAGGAGGGTATTCCCTGTCGAATGCTCACATTCAGATCATCCACTCACACATAGGAAAACAAGGTATAAAATTATACGATGAATTCATGCCCAGATCAAGATGGTTTCAATACCTGTGAATCTTGATAGATATCATTTGTAACGCTTGCTTTTTCCAGCCTGGTGGCATACTTCAGACACCTGGAATCCCGTGGAAGCTAAATGTTTTCTCAATGAATTAACGGGAAATCTCCACTATTCATGGTCTTCTGGCACTGCTGTTCAAGCCACTGTCATGCTCTTAAATCAGTGGTTTATTAGTAGAAGAAAAGTGATGGAAATTGTGTGGTAGGAGAATAACGTGCAATGTACTTCGGATTAGATAGCTTGTAGACAGTGTCGATTATACTCGACCGCTTGCCATATAAACCCTAGTCTCCCTGTCCAGAGGTCAGCACGACTACTTTATGTTAAGTCTGCCTGTTGATTGATGGTGTATACTCTGTTAACATTCGGATAAACTTTTACGTGGACACATGTTCGCATTTTTTAGCTCACGGCGTTCAAAATCCCATCGGATTCTGAACTAACCAGTTAGGACGATATGCGCACAATGGATATTAGCCATCGATTTCGCGTGCACTTAATCAGCTTAGGTTTATCGAACTGGTTATCATTAGCCGTTTCAAGCGTGATGTATGCGAGTAAAAGACCTTTAGGACACAGTTACTACTAACTAACCGATGGTTCAATCTCTCCCTTTCCTTTTCGCTCTTTTCAGCCGTTTCCCTACCTCATCGTTGACATTTCATCCTTCGTATTTCCGTATTACGTAACTCTTTTGACCCACTTACTTGACCGACTTTTTATTCTGCTACCTTCCTATACCCGTTCTTATTCAGTTCTGGTTTTATCTATTTAATATTATGCAACCATTTTCGACTCCCCTTCCTCCGCGGTTAATCGTTCTTCATTACGTGCGTTGACAGCTGATTGAGAGCACGTGAACTCATATTGTGTTACCTGTTTTACTCAAATGGATTAAAGAGAAAGAATGGTTCCGATAACACTTAATCTGGCAATGATTCACCAGTGTTTTGGGAATCTCCTTATCTCGGAGATTTCTGTAATTGCAGTAAATTTGGATTATATCAGTTTGAGTTAAACTATTTTCCATCAAGTCTCTACTGCAAATGCTGAGTCTGGACGGTAAAGATGATCAGAATTCATCATCAGCAGATGAACTACTGTATAACCTGCCGTATTGTGCTGACCAGTAGAACGAACGAAGCCCCGTGGTGACGGGGACCCATTGCTAACTGACAATTTCTTACCGAGAAATTTAAGCGGTTAATCATATGAGGTCCTAAAACGATGGAAATGGTAGTGAGTAGGGCAGTTCACTTGAAAAGGATCTTTAAGAGAGATAACTGGATAGCTCAGAATAAACAACACCGAAAACCTCACTATTTGATAACCAGACCTGTACTCGTGTTGTGTGATGTTTATCCAGGCGCATGTTTCCCAATCATAGTTGACATTCATACTTAAAAAAATCAAGTGCCTTGCAATGCTGGTCAGACAGATAGTATGTCTAGTAATTCTCCCAAGGATGTGATGCACATTTTTCTGGAGGAAATTCCGATGAAAACCTGTTGATTATTTTATTTCAGAGCTCAGTTCTGATCCCTCATACAAATATAAGCCGCACACGGATAAGCAATCGGATAAAGTAATTGGTAAAACTGGTTCTCGAAAATCACTCTGTGCAGAACAAGGTGGAGTTGGTAATCTACTGTGAGGAAATTATCGGCTGGCACATTTTGTGCACTGTGATTTTTATGTGTTACTTAGCATGCGGGCGTGCGTGGGTCGGTTGCTCGGCCGCCTGAATGAGGTCAGAAATTTATGGTCGTCGGGTAGATGCAAATCAAGGCGCCACACCGAATCCGGGGCCAATCGTGGGATCCGTGGAAGAAACTGGATTGGAATGGTCGGGAATGTGGGCCACATTATCCGGTAAAAACGATGGCGACTCAATTCCTGATACCACAGGTTTAGCAGAATGTGCCCATAAAGATCTGCCCCCCCCCCACGCGCTACCCTCCAAAAAAAACCACGAAAATAATTACACGAAACCAGATAGGACGGAGGCAACGAATGCAAATAGCACCTGGTTCTAATAAGAATGTGGTGTTTCGTTGAAAAGATTGTAATCTTCCAGGTGAATTCAAACACCAGACAACAAAAAAGAAAATAATCTGTGCTGAACCCAAATGATTTCGGGGTGTGGAAAACTCGTGAGCTTAAATAAAAAAGCTAAAGAAAAGTGATCATGATCTTTGTTGTGAAAATCTCAAACGGGAGGAAATGGAATATAAAATTTATTTCCCCTTTGTTGTTTTTAGAAGCTCGACCCAGTGGAGAAAAGGTTTAATCAAGATGCACTATTTGACTGTCTCGGTTATGTATATTTTATTACTCAGGCTTTAGACAGAGACGCTTTGGGTTTACTATAATATAATGATCCAAATTATATTGAAAAACATCAAACAAGCATTATACATGGTTTGATGCCAGTGGTACTGTGAGGAACTGATTCGAATAAAAATAGTTTTCGAATCTACATAGTCATTACCCATGGTGCTGACCATCGACGGTGTAGCATATCGCTTGGTCTGATAAACATTAAGTTTCCACCTTGAATCCAGGGAGGAACAGGAAAATTTTGGACTGCTGACCAAACCAGTTAGTTATACAGCAATCTTCGTTGATCATCGAGAATGTCATCCAGTCAACTTGTGAGGATCACGTGATTCCTGTCGGAAAGAAACTCAGGCACACATGGAATACGCTGCAACTGGTGTCCGGAACACAACAAAGGCGCTACCAAACAGCAGCATTTATCAGGTATAAAACTGAGCATGCACTTGTCTTCCCCATCCGGCTTATCTTTCAGCTGATTCGTAACTGATTCGTAAATCTTCATAAATCTTCATCCATCCCAGCCAGCCCCTCGTGCCGAACTTAGAACGAAAGCTACGATTTTCATCCCAGTCGGAAAACGCGCAAATATAGTTGGCTCCTTGCNNNCAAGTCCTAGACGTAGTCCACACATGCTAGCGTGGGATGAACAATACGGATATACATATAATTTGTTCACAAATGGACTGCTGTGCTCGAATGAATCAGCGCTTATTTTGTCGCTTGAGTTCAGCCTTCCTCTTTTATCAAATTATTTAATTTCTTTTTCCATTCAGCTGATGGAGACCAATCAACGGCTTGTATGTAAATGCCACGGTGTCAGTGGCAGTTGCGCTCAACGTGTTTGTTTCCGACAATTGAGAAGAATAGACAATGAGGTGATGCAGAAAGCTTTGAAAATCAAATATCTGGTAAGTAAGCTGTCACCCAGCAGTCTACATGGCTTGGTTTTACGTGTCTCGACAATCCAGCCGTAGGAATTGGTGCAAAACGTCTTTTGAATGCATGTGAAAAGTTTGCACATAAGATTCTTATCGACCGCTCACATCCGCTACACACAGATTTAACTTCGTGTTGTTTCTTTCCGCCAACTAGATCCCAAACACCCGTTATATCCCCTCTCGAATAAACCTATATCGTCACTCTACGGTACCCTCATTAGCACGTATTCCAGTTAACACAGAACAGGTTTTCACATACTTTGTCAACAGTTTTGGGATTTAAATTCTTTTTACTTTCCTTCCTGTCACCAACTTGTATATTTTCAACTGAAATAAAGGCTTCATGCCTACAGAAGCTATTACAATAACAATAACAATATGTATTCTGTCGCATCTGGAAAGAAAACAAAACCAAATACATGGGGAATTTCATAATCTGTACAAACACATTCACCATACAGATAAGTGGTCTTGGTGTACATTTTTGTACAAAGAATGATCTTCATGAATAGAGAGGGTTTGATACTATTGTCTGCAGGCAAATTGGTTAAACAATATATATTAAAGCTGAGAGACATCCATTGTGGTAATGACCTTCAAGACAACTTTTAGGACTGCTTTTAAAGACTCGCATTAAACGGACTACAATGTTGCTGTGTCTATAAACCCAAAAGAGAAATAAATTATGTAGCCGGAAAGACACTCACCACAAACCCTGACATAGCGTCCGTGTAGGGAAGCAAAAGTGTTAGTCACCTCCTGGGGAGGATGGACCCGACACCGGACACGCGGATTGCGGTGGCCGTAATTTTTCGGTACTGAGCGGCTGAGGTAAACAATCTGTTCGCTCAATCACAGCTGTGCACAACGGAAATTTATGACGGCATAAATACCGCTGGCTACTTATCACAACCCGGTTCCTGGAGCGGATCGAACTAGATTTCCATTTTGCGTCATTTTTCTCCGGTTCTGTATCGTTTGTTTTGTAAATGTCTGAACGATGTGCCTTCTCGTCTTCTCGTCTGGTGCTTAATAACTAGCTGACTCTGTGCAAACAGACATAAATAGTATGTCTTAACGAGACTGCAAGACAAAACGATGTCTAAACACCACCTAACTCTCTCTCCTTTACACATTAATTTTGGCGTAAACTTAATTTATGGGATTACATTTACGCCAACTGGGAAAGAAAGGTTAAGCTGATGCAATAAAGTGAATCAATTAACAGGGCATAAAGATGATATATTAAAAAAATGATTAGGTAACAGTAGCAAAAACAACCACAACACTTACAACCATCAATAACCAGATAGAGAGAAAAATACCATCCAGATAGGGATAGAAAAGTTTGCCTGGTCATTCACATGGCTAGTGCAAAAACCCGAAACATACTTGAACGAATATCAAGCTCAAATTGGACGGAGGTAAAAATTATATCTACTCCGGAACTTGACAAGGATACCCAATCAATGAGGACCAGATTGGTAGGCAATGTTGGGTTTAAAAACGAAGCAGGAATGTGCCTTTCCTCGCAACTGCATCCATTTAAATCAAATTGCTTGCAATGTTTTGCTCGTCATCGTTGCACGGGTTTTGCAACAACATTTGGCACATCTGCACGTGGTCATGAGACTGAATAATCACATTGCCATTATTTGACTGAAAGAATAAGAGCCCACTGTGTTACACTGTCCACCGGTGGTACCCAGGCAGGTTCGGTCCTAATCAAGTCGAATTGGGTGGAGCACACACCCCATTCGACGCTTTAGAAAACAATAGCCCCAAAAGTCCAGTTTGTGCTTTGTATGATCAGGTACTCCGGACCCTGGGATCCACAATCGCATATTTGTAAGTCGGTTCATGTAATCGGCAGTGAAAACGCACTTAGATATTGCTGAATGTAAAATCGACATTTTGGGGATTTCGATTTTTTGAATTTATCTCGTACACAATGGTATACAAAGCTTTTTTTAAATTCAAACTCATAAGGTGTGAGTGTGTCAAGTAATATCTCAGTTTCATATCAACTTTTCTATTGATAATTACGTGTGAATAATTCTGTTTTTATTCCCTGCTACATTCATTTGCCAATATACAGGATAGTTTAACTATACTAACCGTGAATTCACAATACTGCTTCCTTGTGTCCTAGTGATTAAATGTTTTAACTGTACTATTACCACCACTATTATTCTGGGATTCTTCAAACGTGGATTGAATTACCAACCCTTTGTAACTTAATTGGAACCCCATTTGAATAAATCAATATGCGCTAATCGTGATTCACACTAGTTTCAACACATTTTCATTTTATTGACACTGCGGATGTCCAACCCCAACCCCATTTCTGTATTTTCCCTGGCAGCCTTTGACTGACCGCATTCTGCTCCCCGAAGACCATCTATCTGGATGGAATTTCAATGAATAAAAATAAAGTGGACACATTTGTTTCAGTTGGTTTGACAGTTCAAAAGATCCAATCAAGCAAATCTCTTTAGGGATTCTGCGTTATGATTATCGCAAGGTCAATCAATCAAACTTATAGTCTGAAGATGAAAGCAAAGGGAACATAGTTACGCTTGCCTTCAAGAACTTTCACCTCTAAATATTGGCACGGATAATAACATACTCACAAATGTGAGTAGTACAAAACAATAATAAATAACGAATAACAATTTTACCTCTGTTGAAGACAGAGTCAATTTCTGCTCATTCAATTATCACAAGTGAATTATGATAAAACTTTCTTGGGTCAAGTCTAAACAACAATATTTTTGACACAATAACGGGTTTTTCGGTAGCACATTTGAAAGGAACAAAATAAAACTGAAGAGGTAAAAAGTACGGATAATTCTGAAAATTGTGTATTCAATAAAAGAAATTAAAAGAAATGAATAAATGATCCATTCAAAATTGATTTTTGAAGGTTTTGGTTTAAATGATGGCATTAAGATGGTCATTTTGACTTTATCTTTTCCGTCCAGTTTGAACTGAGACTGTTCTGTCGATTTTACAACCCTATTGATCTGTCCGACGTGTTCCCCTCTATTTGCACCCATCTCAAATAATGTCCCAATTCAACTTGATCGCTCACTTTACTTTCAGGCTGCAAAACAAGTTACTCAAGCAGCAAACGGCCAGCTAATTGCTAAAACGTTTTCCGGAAACGGGTTCGTCGATGAGGTGGTCAAGCATGAAGAGCTAGTTTACAGTGAACACTCCCCGGACTACTGTAATGTGGAACCGCAACGTGGATCTGTGGGTACACGAGGACGGTAAGTCAGTCACTCACGGTGATGGGTTGTTAAGTATTTTGGGGAGGGAAGGGGAAATGTACAGTACACCTTCATGGCTCTTTCTCTCTCTCTCTCTCTTTGTGGTGCTTGCCTTTTTATTCCGTTGTTTCTTTTTACGGTGAACTATGTCACACACATACACGGGTTTACGAATCCTCAAAGTAATATGGGTCCCTTTTAAGCCACATTTGCCCTGTGAAATGTTTTTTTCCCTCATTGCGGATCTCCATCACGTTAGTTTCTATATGCAGTCACATAACTTGTGATTATTGTATTGTATTATTGTTACACTGTATGTTGTTGTTGTTGTTTTTGCAGTTTAACGACTTCAATTTTCTTCATCTTATCGCACTCTGTGTGATGATTGGGCAACCTTTGAAACTCAGGGTCCCCTTGATCCATTGCATCAAGACCGAAAGAAAAGACACATGTCACGAGATGTCAACACTTCGTTTCACCTCCTCAATGGCTGACCTCAAACAAAAAAAACACGTATAGCACACTGGGTTGGTAAGTTCTATAGTGAACGAACTTGCACACTCAGGCAGGAGCTACTAACATTAAAAGCAAGAGGTCAACTACACAGCAGGTAAACTGATTGCGTCACAGACATTTGCATGCGTTCAGTTCTGCTTTACGCGTCGTAGATATTCGTCTTCTGGAGGTCTTCGACTGCCGATGTTGACGTAGTTTGGCGCCGGTTAGATGAAGCGAATGGGTAAGCAACTGTGATGTAGGACGTCGCGTATTTGGTAATGATTCGATGGAGAATTCGCTGTCCCATCAAACTCAGATTAGTTGAAATCGCTGGATAGGACACGTATTGCGTATGCTCAGCCGTCGTCTACTGCCCCTTGTCTTATTCGCAGTTGCGACTCCACGTTGGAAGAAACCACGTGGAGGTCAACAAATGACGTGCAAATGAGGCTTGAAGTAATGCACGGAACAATTAGGTAAAATCGATGTCCCCCGTCTTCTGTAACTGGTTGGTTGGAGACAATGAAGGACATGGCAACTAACCGATAGCACTGGCTTTCTTGTTGTCATTTCGTATCGGGTCAGAATGCTTGAAAATGTATGTATGCACCTTAGATTGTGTACTCGGTGTGCTGATCATGGAGGTTCATTTTCTGTGCCTCCCTCTAATTAGGCCTAATCAATCTCCATCTTATGCTTTATCATTTGATTTGTGTACATTGTAAGCTTAGCAGCGATACCGAAGTTCGCCTCACGGTATCTCGCTGTATGATTATGATGATAATAACTCACTTCTGGGTGCACAAAACGTAATGATGCTCTCTGAGTATTAACGCCCCACAGATTGCAGAGCTTTGCATTGCGATTACGTAATGAGGGTTTGGATGAGGAAGCTAGATCAACTATATGTTTGGTTCTCATAACTATAGTTTCACAGTGCACGACCCGGGTTCCTTTCACATCCTGATTAACAAGTACCGGTTGCGTCATCGACTTCACTAACTACGTTGGAATGTGTTCGGTCATTCGCTGACATAACTGACCGTTTGTTTCGCTTATGCATACGAGTAAGATTCTCAACGTTATCGCCCAGCAAAACACATAGTGGTGTTTGTATACAATGCATGATGAATGAGCACATACGAAGTGGAGCTACAGTTTACTAATAGGGGTCAGCGTTTGCCAAATGAATCAAGGGAAACCGAGAGATCTAGAGAAATAGGGTACAGTCTAGCGCACAGAACTGGCGGACATGTTCGTTTGTCAATACAAAAGAGAAGACAAACGTCGCGAGATGTTAACATTTTGTTGAATCTTCTCAGTCGCTGACTTAAAACAAATACGCATATGTACAGCACACAGGGTTAATCAATTAAGGTCATCTACATCAAGCTTGCGTTCAAGGGTGACCACTTTGCAGTGACGTTCGCCATAAGTTGAGGTCAGCTCTAGACCGAACATTCCCAGCCGCTCAACTCAAACTCAATGCCTATAGTTGTGGAACTGATCTGCACGATCATATACACACTGTATACCATTTGAATGCGAATAGGTCAATCCAAACTTGATAATCTACACTGTATACTAGTTAATCTGCATATGCGGTGACGCATACAAAACAGAACAAGCCGTTAACTCTCACAACGGATGACCGAACATATTCCAAAAAGGTTGGTCAAATCGATGATGCAGCCGATATTTGACGGCCAAGTGATCACTAGAAATCAAAGGTCATCTGTTGTAAAACGTATATCATGAAAACAAGACACAGTTGACCCCAATTCACCCTTCAAACAACTTTTACCTGATCGATATGCTAAACTCTTGGCAGTTAGTGACTCGCTACTTATTCGATTACATCACCCGAGCTTATGCGCACACACGGTTTTGATAAAATCAATCCAATTACGGTGGATTTGATCTTCTACTTCGATGTTGAGTGATCTTTGTATGCTTGTACACGTTCGTTGACCGAAATTGATTAAACGCATGTGCTATGTATGAGCCTGTTTATTTTAAGTCAGCGGTTGAGAATATTAAACGAAATGTTAACATCTCACGACATTTGTCTTCTTTCTATATTGCTGAAATGGATAAAGGGTACTCAATGTTTCAACTGTTCATGTATGTTCACTACATATAAAACACAAACTAGTAGACCGAACTGCATCATGAGTCAGTACCGAAGTCGGGCACCGTTTTAAATCACCACATCTTTGTGATCCATCTGATCTGGTTTTTGGTTGCTTGTATTACTCTTCCAGTGAAATCAGCTTCAATTTACCAACCGACTATTTGCCCACATTTTTCTCCTCTGTTATACCGAACAGCTTGTGCACTTTGAATGATTCGGGCACGGCAAACTGTCTCAATATGTGTTGTGGTCGTGGCTATCAGAATCTGACCACTCACGAAGTGATTCAATGCAACTGTCGTATGGGCGAAGGATTCAAGGTCAAATGTGATGAGTGTAATGTGGAAGTTGTCACCCACCGTTGCCTGTGAATAATATTGATTATTACAACATTGGTAACGATTTACTGAGTATATTCCAGACTTCAGCACAGTTCTTATGTACACTATAAATACGTTCATACACATATACATATATACATGCATACGGGCATAAATACATACATACATGCATACATACATACATGCATACATACACAAACATACGAATCATGTAAATGCATTATTATTATTCATCGCGGAACTGAAACGAAGCTTTCACGCATCAGAGTATGAAATCAATAAACTTCAAGTCATCATATGTTTGCCCATTTATTCACCCAATACCAGCGATGTTGNCGCCAACCACAACGACGCCAAACACAACGACGCCAACCACAACGACAACAACAACAACAAGAAAGACATCAATTATTAAACCCGTTCTATTCACGCTTCCATGCATATCACCAATTGTACATAACCACTTGCTTCAATAAAATTGGAAACCGGATAATACGTAGCACTTCAACAGCGAATGTGTTTCGGGGGAAATGGCTGAGTTCGGGACATCTGGTGACCAGGATAGTAAGGGTAAATTTCCCTCAATTACCCCCCCCCCCAAAAAAAAAAA